AAACAGGTTTAGCCAATAGCAGAACAGCAACTACTGGGAAGACGGGGATAAAGATTGCAAGGCCCCATCTGATTGGTCAAATTTGAAAAAACCTATGCATAAAACACTCAAACGTAAAGAAATAATAATAAATAATTTATTGCACCTGTCTGCAGTAGGGATATTGGATATACTATTATTGTGATTTCAATTTGTCAATATGTTGTGAAGCTCTAAAATGTATCCACCTCAGAGACAAAAAAAAAAAAAAAGGTTATGCATCTTTTAGAATAATGGTCTCAAACTTAATTCCTTGTGGTCTACAGCTCTGCACAGTTTAGCTTCAACTACCTCCAACTCACACTTGCTTAATAGCCTCTAGTAGGGCTGCACAAAATCTCCTTTCAGCATCCATATCGTCCATGTCATCATTCGCAATAGTCACATTGCAGGTTATGCAATGTTGAGTTTGGATCACAATTGATCATTTTTGCATGTTTTTCATACCTGTGATTGTGTAATGGTTTTAAAAGCATTCAGGTATAAGAAATTGTACCATTTGTGACCTTAACTATGATTAATTTTATTAAATCATTTTTATTTTATCTTTCAGTTACTGTCCTTGAAAACTGTTAGACTCAGGGAAACGATAAAACACAGGGGACTCCAAAAAAGTTTATAGATTGTTTATTGGATTTCATGGAGATGCAAATAGTTAACATTAATTCATCAATCTCTGAATAAAGTGCACGGAAATACTCGCAACACATGCCAATACAGAAATGCACTGCAAATAGCAAAGACCACAATGAAAATGTGTCATGTCGGGGGACCCCTAAAAGTTTATAGATTGTTTATTAGATTTGATAGAGATGCTCTGCCATCGCAGAATCATCCCAATCGATCTACAATTATGAACTCTTTCCAAATAGAGATATTAGGTCATCTGGTGAAATGGTATTCATGTCGTAACATGTATTGCAAGATAAATGTTAGATTTTTCCAACATCATGCAGCCATAGTCTTGAACACCTTGATTAGTTGGATCAGCTGTGTTTGATAAGGGTTGGAGCAAAACAGCTGCGAACGCAGGGAGAACATGCAAACTCCACACAGAAACGCCAACTGAGCCGAGGCTCGAACCAGCGACCTTCTTGCTGTGAAGCGAACGTGCTACCCACTGCGCCACTGCGTTGCCTATATAGAATACTATAAACTGCTAATAGAAAACAATTGAAAGAGGTTCCTCTCACTGCAAACTCATTTAATTTGATCGGTTCACACCTGTGAATGGATTCATTTGTTCTGAAACACAGATTACAAATGTTACATTGTTGCTCTTTGCTCTTGGAGCGGTTCGCTTTCACACTGCAAAGTTTCTAATCGGACCAAAAGAGCTAAAACAAGTCACGTGCGAGTAAACTCTCCTTACATTGGTCAGAGTGTCAGGGTTTATTTTGCAGCGTCCCAGCAGCTGTCAGGAGAGGTGGTGGTTTGGTGGTGATTGACACGGTGCGCGCGCGACGTGTCTGAGGAGAGATGCGGTGGGGAGGGGTGAGAAGGGTGCGCGACGATGCCTATTTGAGGACCGGGAGGGAGACGCGAGATTACCGGGAGATCATCACTGGTTTGCGGGCATCCGGAGACTCGCAAAACTTCCCGCCATACTCATAATTCTCTCTTCATATAGCCGTAAGCCTATTACATATCCAGGGTTCGTTTCAATCGAGCCGAGACCACCTCGTTCAAGCGATCTCGGAACGATTACTTTGGCGCGGAACAGAGCGCGATCTAGACGCGTTCCGAAACAAAAGTGTAGGTGTGAAAGCACCCTTAATTTGCCATTTGAGAATCTTTTGTCCAGTGAAATCTTATTTTTGACCAAACGCATCTTTATAAAAATTCACAAAATTGTTAGTCAAAATATAGTGCAGATAATAATAATAAATAAATAAATATTTTCAGATGGTAAACAAAAACTTTCACTTTTGAATGTTTTTTATTTTATTTTTTTTTTTTTTACTTCAAGACATTACCAAGTTATCTACACTGTGCACATGAGACTTCTGCTTAAACTTCTATTAATAGGTGAAGCTCTATTGTTCCTCATGTTAAGTTCCTTGAACTGTTCAACATGTATAGATGCACTGTAATTTTTAGGATGCTTTAAGGAAATGCGTCTATTCAGATATGTTTGAGATGTTCTATAATGCTTAACCAAAATGTATTCTTTATTTTGTCTTATGAAGTTGAAATGGTTTGCATAACCTTTAAGTTTAAAATAAGGATTATAATGTTAAATTTTGTTTTAAATATACATAACCCTGATGCTGACATGATGTTTTATACTGCAGACAATGGACCCTTTTCACATTTTTGGGTTTCCCAGTAGCGGAGCGCTGTGAATCGGAGAGTACAACAAATATTTATTTTACAATCCTGTTTGCTAAAATAATCATTTAAAAAAAATGCCAATTTATCAAGACTTTCAGAAAAAGGAAGAAAATTAAGAGACTGATAACAGCAACCAGAAGAGAGAATGGCGTTAAATTTACTGTCCTGACCCCCATAGACGCTGCATTACAAACACCTTGGATAAGCAGTAATTTTTTTGTTTTGTTTTGTAATTTAATGCAAAGATGATATAATACATATGTAAATACTTATAAATATACATGTTTTTAAAAAACATTGAAATATTAAATCTTTCAAGGATTTAGGTGGTCTCTGCTCGATTAAAACAAACTCGATTGTTGTGAGAAAGCAACATGATCTAACAAACTATATCACAGTGTATTACGGTTATGCAGTAGCCATATAAACGGCTATATAAAGAGAGCATGAGGAGGGTGGGATGTCTTTCCTACCAGTAAATGTGCGTTTCATGTTGAATACGAAAATGAGAGCGTGCTGAAATTTTAACGAGAGATATATTTATTCATCATGAAAATTTACTGAAGTTGCGATCTGAAATTTTTTCCATATTTTAATCACAATATTTTGTATTAGGCCTATTGTTTTGTTCATTTCTGAATCGGAGTCAATAGGACTCTGAAAAAAAAGAAATCCTGAAACACTGTCCAGTGTGAGGAGAGTTTAGTCGCACGTGACCGGTTTTAACTGTTTTGGTCTATTTAGACCAGGGCCCAGTTTTTCAAAAGGTTTAATTTGGATAAAATTGATCCGGATTTAGTAATCCTTTTTTGCGATCTGTGATCATGTAATCCAGCTTACTTTTTGAGCCAGTTTTTTTAAAGCAACGTCAGATTGAATCAATCTGATCCGGATAGGAGTTTTTCAGGATCACTAAATCTGGATAACCAGTGCTCAAACAGGAGAGGAAATCACAATGTAGAACTACAGATAAGTAAAGAACAACAAGTAGAATAGCCAGTGTGGGGTTAATATAACTTTTATTTTTATTTGAAATGAAAACACGCACACATTAAAAAAAAAAAAAAAAAAAAAACACCTCATTCTCTTCCAGCAGTCCGCGCATCTAAGACATATAAATATCCTCAATGTACAGTGTTTGTGTTATAACAAGTTTCAAATAAAGATGTATTAAATAAAAAAAAGACTTAATGCCAAAACCTCCACAATAATTTCAGACTTCCTCATCTGATGTGGAGAGACCAGCTTGTCTGAGCGTGGCCTTTAGAAGGCGGATCTCAAGTCTGGCCTTGGTTTGCTGCAGTTTGGTCAGAGTCAGTTGTTCCTTTGCCAGATGAAGCTGTGCTTCTGCCCTTTCAGTCTCTTTTTGCAATTGTGGAAAGGGATTTTAAAAATCAGTGATTGCCATTCTTTGCATTTTTTTGGTTATTCTGTAATCATTGCATGCATCAATAATAAATATTCTTAAAAGAAAAATATTTCCCATTGAGATGAATATATGTGTCAATTAGTGACAATAAAATTAATTGTTTTGGTCAGTTTTGACAGCTGTTTGGGGGATTATTTTATGTGGTCAAACTCCTGCTTTGCTGTAGGCCTATACTGAAAGGCTGAATACGTTAAAGCCTACCTAATCACTGTAGCCTGATGGATGAACAAATACAATTAAAACCTTATGAATAAATAGGATAACTTGTAAGAGACTGCATGATCCAAATATAGTATTATTTGATACATTTTTTAAGCTTTCATTACATTTTGGGAATGAAATCCACACTGAATCCACCCTTCTGATGGGATCAGTTTAATCTAGATTTTTTGAATCAAAGTGATCCAGATTCTACAAAAAAGGTCTGAAAAACCCAAACTAAAGGCTTGATCCGGATCAAAACCAAGATTGAATTACGTGATCTAATCCGATTATGTAATCCGTTTTTTTCTTTTGAAAAACCCATTTTTAACATTTGATCCAATCCCTTATCCCAAATCCTAGTGGATTACTTTTGAAAAACCGGGCTCAGGGGTCACCAAACTTGTTCCTGGAGGTCCGGTGTCCCACAGATTTTATCTCCAACCCTCATCAAACACACCTGAACAAGCTGATCAAGGTCTTACTAGATATCTTTTAAACACCCAGGCTGGTGTGTTGAGGCAAGTTGGAGCTAAACACTGCAGGGACACCGGGCCTCCAGGACCGAGATTGGTGATCCCTGGTTCAGACACTTTGATGTGTGAAAGCGAACTGTACCAAGTACACAAAAAAAAAAACATTGTAACAATTGTACTCCCTGTTTCAGAACAAAACAATCAGGCGTGAAAGCACCCTTAGATGCTGACGACCATTAAATGCATCATAATATAAAAAATGAATCTGGTGAAAAGTGTCCATATAAGAGACCACCTATCCTTATTCTGACTGACTCTTCTGACATTACAGGAAAACATGGCTTTATTAGCTAACAGATGAAGAAAACTCCCCTCAAATGTTGACTGTGAAAGCCAGCAGCTTGTCTGCATCTGAGCTTTGGACCCGGTGTAATTTGTGGCGGGTTATTGATCACTGAGTCACAGTGATGTTTTCTTTTTATTTTTTTTTCCCCCCTCACTTTTTTTTCTTTCTTTCTCAGAGGCATGAAGGTGATTGAGAACAGAGCTCTGAAAGACGAGGAGAAGATGGAGATTCAGGAGATCCAGCTGAAGGAGGCCAAGCACATCGCTGAGGAGGCCGACCGCAAATACGAGGAGGCAGGTTTCCTCAGCCGCTATACCCACACATGCACACACAACAAACATACACACACTACTTCCTTCCTGGTCACATGACCTTTCACACTTCAAGTGTTCGAGCAGCAGATGCTTGCAGTTCAGTGTGAGTCTTTGAGTTGGATTGCATGGTTTTATCTGGTTATTTCATCCAATATAGCTGTTTTGGGGGTTTTGTTGTTTTCTTTTGTTTTTAGTTTTTGTCTTTTTTTTGTTTGTTTTTGACATTTTGTTGTTGTTTTTTTGTTCAAATTTTTGTGTCTAGTTTTAATTAAGTCCTTTTCAAGTTTAAGTTTTGTTAAAAATGTTGTGATGTTTCATTTCAGTTAGTTTTTTTTATGTTCCTTTTGTTTAGTTTTTGTTTACTGTTTCTGCCTTTTTTGTTTTTGTTTTTTAAATCCTTTTTTTTTTCCTCTTGTGTTTTTCTGTTTGTCCTTGTTCATGCTTTTTTGTTGTTTTTGTTTTTATTTTTTATTGTTAATCAATCAGTTTTGGGGCAACACGGTGGCTCAGTGGTTAGCACTGTCACCTCACATCAAGAAAGTCGCTGGTTCAAGTCCCGGCTGGGCCAGTTGGCATTTCTGTGTGGCGTTTGCATGTTCTCCCCGTGTTGGCGTAGGTTTCCCCCACAGTCCAAACACCTGTGTTGGGCTAACAACCCACTTCATAAAAACTAGATGTTAAGAAACGCCAGTATGGTGCGGCTAAATATTAACTTCGAAATAAATGTCCCCGGGAGTAAGTAATCAATTAATCAATCAGTTTTATTGATAATTTTACTGTTTTCTAATTAATTTGTCTATTATTTTGGTCTTCCATAGTTTGGTTTAATGGATATTTCTTAATCTCGACCTCAGTTTCATTTGTGACTTTATGTATTCTTGTAATAATTTTTTTTGTTATTCTTTTTATATTTTTGTTTTGTTCATCTTTTTGTTTTATTGTTTTTTGTCTTGATGCATCTTTTTTTATTTCTTTGTTTTGGAATGTTTAGTTTTTATTTTGTTTAAGTATTGCCTTTTTTAATTATTTAATTAATTTTATTTGTTTATTGATTAGTTTTCTTTGTTGTTTTGGAATGTCTTAATGTTTTTAAGTTTTACCCTTTGTATGTATGTCTGTATTTTTTAATTTTTTAATTTATTTTTTTATTTATTTAATTTTGCCTTTGTCCTTTATTTACCTTTTTTGAAATTGTATTCTTTGGTTTGGTTTTTGTCATTTTTGGTGTGTGTGTACATGTTTTTGTGACATATCAGGACACAAATCTGTGTCATGACACTGGTATTACATGAACATGGTGAAATATGAGGACATTTGCTCTCTTCGTTTCACCAAAAAACTTATAAATCACACAGAATGAGTTTATTTCAGAAAGTAAAACTGCAGCAAGTTTCCTGTGAGGTTTGGGTTGAGGGGTAGGGTGGGATTAGAGCAATAGAAAATACAGTTTGTACAGTATACCATCAATGGAAACTCATGTAATGTACCCACAATTCACAAAACAAATGTCTGTGTTTATCCCATTTCAGCTGGTTATAAATACAATTGTGTAATTGTCCCCTGTTCGGGCCTGTGTGCAGGTGGCCCGTAAGCTGGTGATTGTTGAGGGTGAGCTGGAACGCACAGAGGAACGTGCAGAGCTCAACGAGAGGTACGAAATGCATCTGCAGCCTCCTGCATGTCTGCACAAAACCCATCCATAAGCATCATATTATTAATGCATGTGCCTGACTCTCACACAGCCTTACAGATGCTATATCAGGAGGTGTTCACACCAGAAATGCTCATTTAGACTGTGGATGTACTGATATGGTAGTTTTGGCCAATACCGATAACCGATATGTTGGCCGATAATTGCTATTGTTGATACATTTTTCTAAGTCGAATTACAAAATGTAAATGAACAAATTATTGACTGATATTATCATTTAAATACCTTAATTGATTAACAAATTAAATGTTTATTTGGGACATAATAACATTTAATCATTCATCAGTTAATACCGATATATTTTGTGCATTGCCAATTTATAGCTAGCTAACTATAAATAGGTAAAAGTAATGTAATATATTAATCACTTTGTTTTTCGTAGTCAATGGGACATATATCTGTTTTATAACTACATTTTTCTTAGTTTTCTGTTCAAAACACTGTTCAATTCAAAGGATTTAAACATAAAGAACTAAAACTTTGATAACATTTTGATTATATAGATAAAGTACATTGTTGTAGCTTATCTGATTATTATTGCATCCCGTGTGTTCACCTCCTTAAATGTACTACCGATGTACCACCGTTTTTGCAGTTGACTAATGCATGTCTCACATTGCTGCATTTGTGTCTGTAATTTTTTTGCCCAATTTTGCATGAACTGTTAACTTGCATGCGGCTGGCGTTTGGAATGGCCTTCTCCCTACACTAACAGATGCAATCGAAGATTACAAGATGAGCTTCGGGTGTTGGACCAAACCTATAAGTCATTAAAGGCTTCAGAAGAACAGGTACTACTCACCAATCATTAGGTTGCATAAAACCCAACCGTCTGGTCACACCGTGCACCCTGTAGTATGCAAAACCGCCGTTTCTCCTGCTTTGCTACCTATGCTGCCTTACTTGGTCCATCTATATGTTGGTGAAATGTTTGGTTTTACACCCTTCTAACTTAGCAGGAATGCTGCGGCTCAAATCCTTCTCATAAAGCCCAAACTATACTTCATCCTTTAGGTATACGTTAGCATATGTACATATTAGCATATTAGCACATACACACAAGCGTTCAACAGTTTGAAAGTTGTTATTTGAATTTTGCTCTTTAAATGTATTAGCAATATATCATTGTACTCATTTAAAATGTTTTTCTTTTTATCCCTTTACATGTTAGCGACTTAGAGCTCATGCTAGCATGGTACCAGCATGCTGCTAACATTTTCAGTTAAAGATGTTTGCAACAGTTAAATTTTAAGTCATAGATTAGATGTTGGCTATATGTTAGCATAGTGTTAAAACACTTTAGCAATGGTTGAATTGTAAGCCACGGGTTAAATGTTAGCATTGTGTCAACCAACAATGTTATAAACAACAAATAACACCGTTAAATAGAAAGCAGTGAGTTTAATAGCTATATGTTAGCATAGTGTTAAAACGTTAGCAACAGATTAATTGTAATTGTTTGCATGTAGTTAAAACATGTTAGCAACATGTAAATTGTTTCGTGACAAATGTAAAAACATGTTAGCCATGAGCTACAACACATTAAAAACATTACAGTAGTTAATGGTGACTTTAAATGTGTTTAAGACATGGAAATAACAAATGTAAGTGACATGTAAGAAACCATGTGGTAACCACATTAGCAGTATGCTCATTCATATTAGCAATGTTAAAACATGGTAAGCTTTAGAAACATGCTAGCATGTCAGTATTAAAATATAAGTGATGATTTACAACATGGTAGAAATACTAAAAACAATCACACCAGCAACATTTAACATGCTAAAGGCATGTTAGCAACTTGCTAATTCAGTCTAGCAACATGTTAAAGTCATGATGACATGTTTGTCATGTTAGCAAATCAAGTTAGCAATATGTTAAACATTAGCCAAGCTAAAACTTCTTATTCAAAAGTTAGGAGTGATGGAAAAGTTTATTTTATACGTCAGATGCTTTCCTTTCAATTCCCTGACACATGCTAGAAACATGCTAATACATGCTAGCATTGGTGTACCTCATATCAACATCCTAATTCATCTTAGCAACATATTACAACATGTATAAAACATGGTAGTGACTGTTGCCATGTGTTGCCTGTTAATTCATGTTAGAGGCGTTTAAGAATAAGATTCAAAATGGGAAGATGTTATAAAACACTCTGCCAAAACACACAAATCATGCTAAAAATGCTATAAACATACATGCTAGCGTAAACTATTTTACAAATGATATGGCTGTTTTTTTAATTAAGGGGATGGTTTAGCCAAAATGAAAATTCTGTCCTCATTTACTCAGCTTTCACCTGTTTAAAGCCTATTAGGGTTTGTTGAACACTAAAGAAGATATTTTGAGAAATGATAATAGCTGGCACCCATTGACTTCCATAGTAATTTTACTCCTACTACGGAAGTCAATGAGTCAAAGCAACCAGCATTCTTCAAAATATCTTCTTTTATGCTCAATAGAGGACTAGAAACCCAAGCTTTAAAAACATGTGAGGGAATAAATAAGGTAATTTTCATTATTGGTTGAATTATCCTTTTTTAAAGATTATTTTCAGTTGGCAGAGTGTGTAAAACTAATCCAAGCTATATACACACAGTATGCTTTTGCAGGGGTGATGACTGAATATGCATCTCACACCGAACCCTAAAAACTGAAGTATACGTTGAGGCTAACACCATGCAATTCAAGTAACTGCTGCATGCGTTTTTGATGGCTCATTCCTGCTGTGTTACGGTGACATCAGGCTCTCCTTGTCCTCCACTCCTGTTTGGATTGATTTTGGGTTTTTTTTTTTTGTTTGTTTTTCCTTCCTCTTTCCTCTCCTCCTTTTCCCTTGTTCCTCCTCTTTCTCCCCCTTCTCTGCGTTCTGTACATAAATCACCAGCAAATGCTCAGAGCTTGAGGAAGAGTTGAAAACTGTGACCAACAACCTGAAGTCTCTGGAAGCCCAGGCTGAGAAGGTACGAGCGCTGCTGCAGCCCCAGGCACTCCGGCAGCAACCCTCCTCAAACCGGGATAACCGGTGTTCCCTAATGTTTATCTGTCCTTCTCTGTCTGTGCACTGAGCGTCATTTGTTGATTTGTACTGATTTGATGCTGGTGGATCTGCTGACGGTTAGTTTTCAAGCTTTAGTGGAAATGTTGTCTAAGGGATAGTTCACCCAACAATTAACATTTACTCACCCTGAAGTAGTTGAAAAGTTTTATGAATGTCTATCTATGAATGTCTATCTTCTGTTGAAATGAAGATATTTGGAAGAATGTTGGAAACTGGCAGCCGTTGACATCTATTGTAGGAGCAAGAACTAGTATGGAAGTCAATAGCTGTGTTTTTATCCAACGATGCTGTAAAGTGTTGTAGCTAAAATCCTGTTGAAGGGGTAGTTCACCCCAAAATGAACATTTATTCAGCCTGAAGGGGTTTTAAACTTTTTTTGAATTTCTTTCTTCTTTTAAAAAGGAAGATATTTTGAAGAATGTTGGAAACTGGCAGTCATTGACATCTGTAATAGGAGTCAAAAATTGTATGGAAGTCAATAGCTGTGTTTTTATCTAAATATATGTGAATTAGATTTCTGCGGAAAACGGAAGTAGAGTATAAATATTTATTTGCGAATAAATCATGACCAACAACCTGTCAAACTCGGTTCCTGCTGGGCAGGAGCTCTGCACAGTTTAGTTCCAACCCTATTTAATACACTCCTGATCAAACTAATAGGGTATATGCCGAGCTAGTGTTGTTTCTATACTGATAAACTTCCGGTGACCTGTTATTGTGATTTATTTTATTATTATTTTTTTTTATATGTTTCCTTTTGCAGCATAGATGTTGTAATGTCATTAAAATACATTCAGTTAAATAAACTTTGGCATTCATTTAGTTGTTCAAGCGTAAATCGAGACAAAAGGCCTTTTACTCGCACTCACATGCGCCCGTCTGAATCAGCAGGCTAGAAGCTTCATTGAATATACTGGGGTAAAATAAATGCTCATATTATAAAGACATGGCGGCCCTCCAAAAACTGAGTTTGACAACTCTGATTTAATAAGTCGAAAAGAACAAAATGGTCACTTCCTGAAAAACTAAGAAAAATTGAGTTTTGTTTTGTGTGAATATTCGAAAAAGCATGTAAAAAAATGGAGAAGACAAACTGCAAACAAAATAGCTAAAGGTTGCAGCTTTCCAGCATTCTTCAGTATAACTTCCTTTGTGTTCAACAGAAGACAGAAACTTAAACAGGTTTGCAACAAGTGAAGGGTGAGTAAATGATAACCGAATTTTCAGGGGGGGGTTTTGTTGTGTGAACTCCCTTTAAAGTGACATCTGGTTACGCTGGTTTTGAAGCCAAATGGGGAATATGGATGACCAGTCAAACACCTGATGCTTTTTGACAGGAACTGTAAAATGTTGATTTATCACAAGTTGCGTCCCAACTGATGGACTTGTGCACCCAAAGTATCTGAAATATTTTGCCGAGAGCCGAGTCCACTCCTTTTCATAATTAAATCGGTGACTGGTTAAGTGCATGAAGTGTTGACAGTCCAAAAAATTTTATTTGCATGTTTTGTGTAATATCCTGCAATTGTAAATGCATTTTCTTTAAGGAATTTTCAGTGTGAACACAGTAAAACCACTATTTATTTTAGAAATATACACAATGGAAAGGTACATTAGCATGTGAACAGGAAAAGTGCCTATAGTAATTTAATTAATAATATTTTTTTCAAAAGTAATAAGTAATATTTAGATGATTAATAATAATAATAATAATAATAAAAATGTTATGCTTACAATTTCTAATAATATTAAATATAGACATACTATTACTTTGTACATAATGTTATTGGATTGTCTAACAGTATACACTTATACTATCAACCCAAAAATTTGACTAGAAATGACACGGACTTCATCTTATTATCATTTGCCTAAGAGGCATCATTGTGAAATGAAGTCTCCACTGGTATTTTTGCCCTATTTGGATAGTCTTCTTGCCATCACCCTGATCTTTAGCTTCCTCCATTGATTCTCAATTGGATTTAAGTCAGGACTCTGGCTGGGCCACTTTAAAAATAATTTTCACTTTTCATTTATCTTCAGCGATGAGCTCTAACTCTATCAATTTGGAGGGTTTTCTTGCCATCGCCCTGATCTTTAGCTCACTCCACAGATGCTCAATTGGATTTAAGTCAGGACTCTGGATGGGCCACTGCAAAAATAATTTTCACTTCCTGCAGTGACTGCTACCTTAAAATGTCTTACTGATTTTTCAATTCTTTACTGCGGTAGATATAGTGAAGTTTTGACCAAATGGTCTGTGATGCCATTAGTTAGAAAATGTCGTTTTGTAACACAGTGGAGAAAGTAATTCCAGGGGTTCATTTTCGTACATGGTTTACTCTGTTTGCTGGATTTTGTTATTGATGATTGGACAACACTCCAGGATAGTTTCCGTTTTCAGAATACTAATGCGCTTTTAAGATGCCAATACTTTAAAACGGGGCCGGAGTGGGACTCCTTTTCAGCCCCTGGAGTTTCAAGCCTCAGACCGGCCCACCTCAGTTTATGACTGACTATATTGAAATAGTGCCATTAGAAACTGATTTAGAAATGACCTTATCACGTCTTTTTCAAGAAAACAGCTGCTTTAGAACTTCAAATGTTCAACAACCCTAACAGTATTATACGTCTTAACAATAAAAATGAAAAAAAATAAACCCGGGTTCGAACCCGGGTCGGCGGTATTGTAACGCAACGTGCTGACCACTTAGCCACAACAGCTTTTCCCAGTTTAGTGACTCATCTGAGTTACATCATCATTAACCTGCAGGCTGCATCTTGCTCACAAGGCTGCGAGAAAATAGATTTAAAAAAAATCGGATCTGCGGCCAAATAATGAATAAAAAGAGTGAGGCTGTGGTCAAATAAATAAATAAATGATAAAAGTGCGACTGCTGAGAGCAACAGAGTCTGGAGCTAGGGACACCGGCCATCGTGGCCAAAAAAACGGACCGGCCCACCGCGAATTCTCCCGGTCCTCCCAATTAGCCAATCCGGGCCTGCTTTTAGATACAATTTGAGGTAACAGGCCAGCTTTAGTGTAATTTCAGTGTGTACGATAATAGGCATTATATTATAGGCCAATATTCTTATTGATTGATATATTTATTATTATATAATTTAAGGTAGTGTCTGCAATTTCACATAATTTACACTAGTATTAAAGTGTTATGATGCAGGCCACTTTTTAAATACTAAAATGCTTTATTGATGCAAAATAAACGTAAATCGCCAGTTATGCCTTTCGCCACAGAATTAAGAAACTTAAATATCTGCTTTAAAGTTCAGCACTGATATTGTTGATCGTGTAACACATATGTAAATCTTACAGCGCATGTGAAAAGGTAAGTTTCATTTACTATGCATTTGGTCATCTTGCATCTCAGATCCGTTTGTCCGGATATTTTAATCTGATCTTGTTTTCCAAAACCAAATTAGTCAGAGATCAGTATTAAAATATCCAGATTCTGCCTGATCTTTTAAGCAGGTCAAAATAATAAGCCAAAATAATCCGATTTCTGTGCAGTAACTGAAAGGCAGGGTGCGATACTGAGTGAAGAGCTAATGTTGAGTGTTCCTGGTTTGTACTAATGTCTGTTCGTCTTGTGATGTTTACAGTACTCACAGAAAGAAGACAAGTATGAGGAGGAGATCAAGGTGCTCACTGACAAACTGAAGGAGGTAAGCACATCTCCAGCACCGTAAAAGACGTTTCAGATTGATTCAGCTGGATAAATCACAGTTAGAGCTGTTGTATGTTAATGTTTTAAAATTTTATTAATGCATGCTCTTTAGCCTGAGGTCTATGCAGAAACCTTTTCTTTATGTAAAAACAAGCCTATAACATTTTTTGATTTTATTTTTATTTTATTTTTAATTTTTTTATTTTTTATTTTATTAAATATAAGCATTTTAAAGAATGTAGGCAACCAAACTGTTTTCAGCAGAATTAAATAATTTAGTCTAAATATTTCTAAGCAATTTACTGTAAATTAAAAATAAAAATAATGGTGTCAGGAAGTCTAAAAGTTTGTAAGAAATTGCTGAATAAAAAAAAACCCTACTTTTTGTACTGTCTATGCTTTTCACATTTAACAGTATAATGACTTGCAAATTTAGTTTTGGGGGAAATTACATGGTTAAAAATGCATTAATATGAAGTTAATTTGAAATAATTAGTTGCTATATTGTGTAAATAATTAGACTAAAACATTTAATTAACCCAACAGCCTTAATCGCAGTATAAAAACATTTGATTCAGTGCATTTAATTGCCATTCAGAGCGGTCATTATTTAATTTGTATCTGCAGGCTGAGACTCGCGCTGAGTTCGCTGAAAGGTCCGTCGCCAAGCTTGAGAAGACCATCGATGATCTTGAAGGTACGAATTTTCATTTGTTTATTAATTCAGTCACACATTGAACATCTCAGCCCATTCTCAGAGTCTTCAGGCAGAAATCTGCTTAAGCTTGAGGTCATATAGCTTTCAGCTGTTCATTTCTCTACCGTCATACTGTTTCTCAAACCTCCTGCCCTTCTCTGTTTCTCCTTATCTGTTCAGTTCAGCGCTTGTCAGATCCACACACAGACTTCACTTTGTTTAGTAGAGTTACACGCAGTGTTTAAGCCTGATTTGGATTTTATGAGCTGCTGTTCAATAGTCTTCTCATGTTCAACAAGCGCAAGATCATTTTCATAACGGCACCGACGTGTTTGCGCTGTAATGATGATAACGCTACATTAGAAGCCTTAGAAGTACCTCAACAAAGACTGTTCATTATAAGATAAAAAAAAAGATATATATATATATATATATATATATATATATATATATATATATATATATATATATATATATATATATATA